AATTGGTTTAATTTAGTCTCCAGAAGAAGTTGTTTCAAAAGGATAGGAGAGCTAAGAATATGAAGTATATTTTTTTCCCTGGGTTTGATGACTTCTAATGACCACTAAGTTTTAAGAGTTGGCTGAATATGCCCTGTAAGCACAGAATCATTGTCATTAGAAAATCGGCTGGCATGCAGACAGGTAATATGAACTCAAGTTCAGGGTTTGCTTCAGCTGAAATGTTCTTGCATCTGCAAAGACAAAACCATCTTTAAAACAGTGCTTAGCTTCACTATAATCACTAAATTATACTACAGATGCTTTTCCCCCCCCATACTCCTCGTTCCTCACACCAAATTCATCCTTGACCTCACAATTCCTTGTGTAATTCAAGCTTCAAAAATTAGCTAAACTGAAACACCTTGTGTACCATATTCCCCAAGTACTTTTTCAGAAAAAGAGCTGTTTATAATTCAGTATCCTCACTTCAAATTTGTACCCCTAATGTCACCAAAGCCTTCCTTTCTCTGTCAAAGAATGTTTCAGTTTCCATTGTTTCTGCTAAATAGAATTACATATTATGGTTATTTCAAACAAAGCATGACTTTTCTTTCAGGTTGGGTAAGGGAAAAAGGGGAAACTAAATGTCTAGAAAGCTCTCACATCAGTTGAGGTACTGTGCTCCTCCTCCCATCTTGCGCTCACCTCAAAATATAATCCAAAGTGGAGACAGAACATTGTTATTGTAAGGTTCAAAAATACTATCTAAATTGAAATGTAAGAGTATAAACCTTTTAGCATTTTTTTGTTCCATAACTTCTTCAAAATGAAATCGTTACTATGTGGAGGATAATAAAAACCAAATAATCAGCTGCCTTTAAGGCATACATGTGCTCCCTCTTGCTGTTCAGAAATATCTGGGAGCTAGCACTGTTACAGCACAGATTACGCTATTACATGAAAGCACCTGCTTGCTTTCCCAGAAGTAGAAAATACGGTACCAGAGCAACCAAGTCCCATCTCTTGGCACTGATCCAGTCCTACAGCTTCTGGAGCAAATATAATTGCTTCTTGTTCATACATATGTGATGCACTTTAGTGTAATTCAGTTAATAGCTGATTAAAAATATATGCCAACATGTTAGACTAACAGCTCCAGCACAGAGCTCCAAAGTTACAGTATGCAGATCTTGACACAAGAAAATGGGAGACCACCAGCCTGGCAACACTGCATGGATTCGCTTCAGCACCTATAGGACTGCAGTTCAGATGGCTCATTCTTTGCTGCTTTCCTCCCATTGTTCCTCAGGGGTCATCGCTTCTTAATCAGTGCAGACTCACTAGAAGTTTGCAAATTTTACTCCCTTTCTTTCTCTCTCAAGAGCAGTTGGCCTAAAAATGGCCTTTTCTTCCTTTCAAACTGGATATGCAAGTCAGGCCTGCCTCAAAGTTTGGGTCTTACTTCATTTCCTCCAGCTTTGAGTAAGTACTCTGGATTTCTGGCTGCAGCCTTCTTCTCAACAGTTCTTGAGCTGTGAGAGAAAGAAGCTACACCCGCCACCTCCTCCTACAAAATTAGTATTTTTCATTGTGCAACCATCACTCTATGAAATTAATAATTAAAAAAAGGTGCCCACTCTCACTCACCAGGCCAGAGGGAAAACACCGCATACCCCCGTTCCCTAAGTGCTGAGGACTAGGGACCTACAGCTGTGGGATGCACTTTGGTGTCCCTTACTCAATGTGTAGACGCCATTTCTGGAGCTATACTCTTTCTGTGCGTCCACTGGCAAGACCAGGCTGCTTATCCCAAGGCAATGCATGTTCCTGAGAGACAGAAGAATCCGATGTTACTGATACTAGTCTCTCTGGATTACTTGCAGAAAGGATTTCTACGTTTATGCACTAGGGTAAAACTTAGCCTTACTCTTCCGTGGAAAATATTTTAAGTGGAAGTCAATCATCTATTGGAAAGGCTGTGCTGTTTCCTACCTCCCTGTCAGGTGCCTTCACTAACAAGCACCTGTTATTGTTAAATAATCACATACAAGGAATATTGCTAGCGAAACCTACTATGACAAATCTTAGTTCCAGTTCAACAGCTAGATACTACTTAAAATAATCCTAGCAATCATTTAGCTTGGAAACACATTTAGCTTTAAGAACCAAACACAAATGTAAGAGACATTTTCCCACTAGCCTGTTAGAAAATACACAGTATGCGTTAACATACCTTTACAAATTTTATACATCCAAATTAAATTCCTTTAGCTAAAAATTATATTCTTCCTATATTTTAGTAGTAAAGCTTAAGTAGTAAGCACCCTTTTTAAGTCTGTGATGTTTAAAAGCTTATCTTTCTCACTGAAAGAAAAGCTAAAAGAAGCAAACAGTCTCCCTTCTGGGAACTATTACAACACACAGGAAATTCAAATGGTACTATTTTTAAAATCGGAGAAAGAAAGTATTTCCCTAAAAGACAACTATTCACTGCCAACATCTAATCCACAATAAATGCAGTAAGTATGATATAATGCATTAGATAAAACTATGCTAAGGCAAAGCTTGATTTTTTACATCTCTTATTCTCTCAAAATACCAAAGAGGACAAAACCAAATTTATCTCAAAATCAGAAATACAAAGTGAGAAAGTCCAGCTACAACTTTAAACCTAGCAATTCCTAGAAGAATCAGGATGATTTTTTAGTAAAGCTTTGGTTCAAAAAAGTGATTTTATACTGGCTTAATAAACAAACACTGAGAAAATTTCTCTGTCCAATAAGGGGTCTCACATGCCATTTTTGGCTCAAAAATACTGGCAAGATTGATAAAAGGAAAAAAAAAAAAGAGCAGTTAAACCTCAAGGTGCTGTAACACTGCAGTGAAAGATACCTGTGTAACAACAGGACAAAAATCTCTCCTACAAATTTGTCACTACAACACATAGAGCTTGTAAGCAGCTGCAGCAGCTGAGGCCAGAAATTTGGCTGTTTGAAGCTTTTTTTCCCCCTTTTTACAAAGTCAATTGCTTGCTTTGTTTTGTCATGTGAAACATGTAAAATGCCAACAAATGAAAAAGCAGTAACATGCCATGATGTGTTGTATTCGAACATTTACATTGACACAAAACTGAAGGAATTTAATCGCAGCGCAGATGTATTCCCAATATATTAGCTGCAATAAAGTTCTACAATCAATTGTTTAGCACTTACAACACCAATTCTCAGTTAAAATTATTAGGTATCACAGGTTTAGGATAGATTTATATACACAGTTTCCTCCAAAGAAGGCAGATTTTAGAATCTTAATTCAATTATGAAGAAAATAAGCCTAGAATTTAGCATAATTAAAACCAGCTGAAGTATCATTATAAAAAAGTATCTTAACTAGTATTGACAATGCATGGTTAAATCCAACCATGTAGGCAATGCAGAAATTAATATAAATGTTGCTTCATTTGTGTTTATCTTTATGCTATTAAGTTGGCTTTAAACTAAAACTATTAGTAATAGCATCATTTCATAAATTACTTTGGAATTCCATTGAAAATACAGTAATTTTAATCCTTGCATACTTTACGCCTTTTCAACTTCTATGCCCGAAGTCCGAGTAACTTACTCGGATGCATAAAGGCCTGCAGTAGCCACAGAACCCCGTAATTCAGGAGGCACAGTAAACAGGCATTTATTGCATATAGGTATCTACAACTTCTGAGAGTTAAGACAGCTGGGAAACCACCAAGCACTTGCAATTTCACAAAGTCTAAGCCTGATTTCCTTTTTAAAATCTGTTCAAGTTCTAATACGGAGATTTTAATCATGCAAATACAATACCCTAAACTAACATGACGTTCTTCAACACAAAAAAAGCCACAAACAAAAAATTAAATTAAATAACACCTATTCTATCACGTTGGACCTGAATTAAAATGTTTGGTACTAGATCAGTTAAAACCAAGCACTTTTGTCTATTGACAGTTCGGAAGATAACTTAAAATTTCTAATTAGCTGTTGCTTACTACCTCACTATGGTGAATAACCCATGTGTGTGTTTAGGTAAACTAACTACTCTAAAACCCAGCAAATGAACCCTAGGTCTTACATTGCAGAACACAAAGATGAAACTTCAGTTCAGAGGTAGGTACAAGTTAAGTCTTTGTCCTTCATAACAAGCTTTTAAGATTTATAGGAACTACGGCATGTTTGGTTTGTTTTGTTTATTTTTCAGGTGGCTGTGAGATATAACCCTTTTTCAAGTTTCAAAAACTGCAGGCTAAAATGGTTTTCATGTTATGTGCTGCTTTATTAAAAAAGAGAAATAACCAATACGTGGTCAAATGGGAGATGAGTATAACTATCACCCACCTTCATCAGTCAAGTGATCCCATTCGGTCTTCCTGAGCTAGGAAGCAAAAAAACCTTAAGTTTTCTCATGTACTTAATTTTTCAGTAGTACACTAAATAATCATTATATTGACACTGTAATAAGAGCACTTACATCAGTACTTTATTGTTTATGTTGAAGAGTATTCTCTGAAATGTACATAAGACTATAGGGGAACATCTCATGTTAGTCTTTCTGCACTCACCCAATTCTAGGCATAGTGTGAAAAGAACATTAATGGATTGTGTCAAATAATGCATTAATATTAAATGGGAATGCTTATTCTTTTATTCCAATTATCAAATAGGATCATTTATAACTGTTGAGAAATACTTCTTTCTTACAGAAATCCTTCTTACAGTAAAAAACATTTTGATAAGTGCTCATCCCAAGTATTACTGTATACTATGGCAAATAAATAAAATCCTTGTTTCAGGCAGAAGGCTCCAAATTTGCTTTGGGACCAAGAATCACTTTGTACTAAGCAAGCTTTCTGCTTTTAGAAGTGATTTTAATTTCACGGTAAGAATATTTTGTCACATTTGACACTAAAATGTAAAGCCACTCTGGTAGGCATTGCTTTTCCCAGAGGAAGTCTGCTCTTTTCAGCTGAGCAAGAGACGACAGGCAGGTCAATAAAAGTTAGTCTCATGTTCTGTTTTATCTGGAAGTAACTCCAGTTAAATAGAGATCGGTTGTAACAGCAGATCAATTTTTTGTATTTTGAAAAGGCGAAGTATTGTAGTATCAGCATCCTGTACCAAGCAATACAAGCGCAGGTTACTTGTATACAACAGAAATGTGACTGCTATCAACTTTCACTGTCAGTGAGTGTTCTGTTAGACTACATCTGTAACTCTGTATGTGAAAGTTTCTAACGTCTCATTTATGGTACCCCATCACCTCCTCCATCCCCACTTTCAATCAATTCATGTTTCTTCTTTTGTCTTATTGCCAAGCATCGTGCAATGCCCAATGCACCTCCTTTTAAAAACCGTACAAAGTTGTCTCCCACCAGAGGACCTAAAGCAAAGAGGTTAGCTTCTTTAGTGCATTCATAAGTGTATGGATCAATCTCTATAGGATTCCCCTTGCACGTGATGGGCTGATTAGAGTGATGACCTATGCTATGTCCTTGGTCCTTTAGAAAGAAAAGATTTGGGTGAGAACCTATCAGAACTAAGGCTACAGAAAACTTCAAAATTTTCTTCAGTCCAGAGGCACTCTGAAGAACACATTTCATTTCAGGCTTGAAGGAAAGTATATTGTGTTCAGGGAAACTAGTGTAAGCAGAATGCAGACTAGAGTCCACAGTGTGGGACTGAGTACACATCATATGATAGACCTTATGGTATTCAGGGTAAAGCTTTTTAGGTAGCTGTTGGAAAATCAGACTTGTATCGGTAACTCTTCTACGAAACACATGGATTACTGGGATGTTGTTATTGTAGGCACACAGTACTGCATCAGCTGCTGTAAGTCCAGCACCCACAATTAACACAGGGTCTGTCTTCCCACGTAACTTCCCTTTGCTGATAGCAGCTCCAAAGTCAGACATGGAATGAAGCACAAAAGGGAAGTCTTCTCCTTCAACTTGCAGTCGGCCAGGAGAATCAAAGGTTCCTGTGGCGAGAGCCACATTCTCAGCAAAGAGGCAGAAGGGCACATGAGAACCATCTGTTGCTCGCTGATAACCTCTGACTTCCCAGTTTCTCTTAATCAGTGATTTCTGTCCATCTTCCATTTCCAAATGCTGTGTTGAAATATTTTCATTTAGTTGACTTCTATCTTCATCATCCTTTCCTCGGTAAAGCCTGGATACTGACGTTATGTAAACGTTGTCTCTGAAATTCTTTTGGAGGCCCATGACTTTAACATAGTGTTTATAGTAGCAAGCTACTTCCTCTGGCATTACTCGATCACTCTTTATATTTCTGAAACAAAATTGGATGGTTCCAGTTAATACTTTGACCTTATTGGTAATTTGAACATCATATATGACACACCACATGACAGTCAAATTTAAAAGGATTGAATCTGCTCAGTGTAACTGACACTGAGTTCAATACCTTCAAACACATTCTATTTATTTTATTTGTTCTCTTGATTCCTGCTATAGAAGACAACCTAACTTTTTTTTTAATAGTTGTAAATCTTTACAATGTAAAGTGCTATGGGTATTAAGTGTAACAAAACCCTGCAGTATCATGGTAGGTCTGTATGGAAGTGTTTTACAAAGCCAGTTTAGCATCACGACTGTCAACAATACGATACTGGCTAAACTTGTACTCAGTGAGAATACACTTACCCAGGGTATAAGTAATTAAATATCATAGTAATTGTTATGTGTTAATTTTGAAACTCTAGGTTCGCTATATTACTTAAGTCAGGTATTCTTCATTATACTTTGCAGACCTCTCCCTTGGGTACAGCTCAGTTTAGTCAATTAAGGAGTTCCGTATCACAAGAATGAACAAAGCCAAGATGACACAGAACCTTAATGCAACTATGTAAACAGGATTATGATGTCCACGTGTCCAACAAAAAACATTATCGCACTGCAATCCTGGTATTACAGCTATGCTTTTCTCGTGTTTATTGCATTCTTGTTTCTACAAAAATAAGCTGAAAATGTAATTATTTTGAACAGGTGCATGAATTTTGCGGGTTCTTTAGGACTAAGGTCTAGGAAGAAGGCAAATGAAACTGTAATGAACATTAGGATTGCCACTGAATTACTCTTAAAAGCATATTTACAAGAAATCAGGCTACTCACTCTCATAGATTAACAACAGCATATATACTTTTAAATGTTCAGGTTACTACTCTGAAAATCCTGATGAGATATTTATCAAAGAGGATAATGCGACAGCGTGACGCACCTGTTAACAATGAAAGTTAGGAGACTATTTTACATGACTAGAAGTTTTCATTATCATCATTTACTTTTAAATACTTTTGTTTAATTGTAGTATAACAAGTCACCATTTCTGTTTTTAGTATTGTTGAAAACTATAATATAAACAAATTAGCTTCAGATAATAAGCAGCTTATGGGATTTCAGTTAATAAGGAGGCAAGATTACTGTGGTTATCTAAGAAAGCGATTAAAGAACAAAGGTACAGTTTCTTCACTATATGTGTTGTCCTGAATTGAGTAAGTCTGCCCTTAAAGACATACACTCAAGTAATTTACTACTTCTTTTACCATATGCGACAGAAAAACAACTTCCTTTAATTTTGCTAGAACAAAGTTGTGAAAATTAAGATTTTAGAAAAGGCTTATGTGGAGTGTTCCTAGGTTCATGTGCTGACACAAACCTTTATGATCTAGTTGTATAACTGAAGCAAAAACACTGAGCTTGTACAAGACTGTAATTTTTCTTCTCTAAAATTTTTCCAAGAAACTTAACTACTAGAAAATAACACTGGGAAATAGTGAATTATGCTCTTAAAATTCATAGACAGCAACATTTCAGATGCTGCAGCTTTGCCTGTAAAAGCATATACTGAAATATGCAATTTCCTGAATTACAGGAAAGCTAGCATGCACAGCAACTGAAGTGGCATTCATTGATGAAACAGGAACTACCAACACTTCCGTAGTTTTTTAATTCCTCCCTCAATCTTCCCTCAACTCTGATCAAAATTGCTTGCAGTAACAGTGCTTCTTTGTGAAGTGGTTGCTAAAACACACCACTGCTCGTACGCTTTCAATGCACTCAAAGCAATTACTCCGGCTTACCGTTGTCCATTTATTTCCATGAGAGTACACACAGCAGAATAATTTCCAGTGGCATCAGGCAATTTAATAAACAAAACAAGAAGCCTTCCTGTGAACAATGAAGTTTGAATCTTTTCCAGTTCTTAAAAAAATGTCACCTGGATTCTTATAGCAATTAAGTTTCCCAAATACATTATGCAATACATTTACCTGCGTTTGCTAGCCGCCCACTCCTTAAAGGTGAGGCCAGGCAATTCCATCCAGTCTCCAAAACTGATTGTTAGCATAGAGCCTTCCATGGACTATGGACAAAAAACCAAGATGTGTGACCAGATACTTTTCAAATGGACACATTTATGTAAAACACAGTGAAGTTGTTCTCATTGTACTCATTTAGAGCAATAAAATACCAGAATATTACACAACACCAGGACATTACAGGAAGTGTTGATGAACTATTTCTGCGTTACAGTTAGATACAATTTTAAGGAGCAACTGCATGATCTAATAAAGCAGAAGGTGAGGAGAGAACAAGGGAAACTGAAATTTAGAATACAAAACAAGAAGAAAAGTATGTGAAACCAACAGCATGTGAACACATTAAGATTTAAGATTTTGTATAAAAGCACCTGGAAACAATGCAGACAAGAGAGAAAAAAGTAATAGAAAATACCCTTCATTATAATTCATGAAATTTAAACTAATAAGCACCTAAGACAGCAGTCATGGTAACAAATCCCCAAACGAAGCACAACTTTTTCCTTCCTTTTTGTCTCCCCAACACATTCAGGCTTTGGTAACTGAGCAGCTGAAAGTGCAATTGCCATTACTACCTAAAACAGCCTTAGATAGTAAGAAAACCCACAAAACTATCAAGTTACCCTAGCAGTGATATGAAATTTTTACTCACATGCCAAGCCCCACCCGGCGGTCCTTTACCAAGCACTATATGGGGAATATAATTATGTTGTTCTAGCTTCCAGTGCAAAACTGGCGGGGAGTCATACCCAAAGTCAGCATCAGGATGAAGCAGTGTATCAAAAAGCACTGCAACTGGGGTTGTTTTAGCGTCCTTCCAGCCCTTCAGACAGGTACTCCAGATCCTAAAGTAGAAAAAAAGTGGTAAGTTCATACAGCTTTTACTGTTCATCATGCTACTCTGATGTACAGAAGTTGAATTTCAACAGAAAACACAGTTAGTTCAAGTTGCATTTTAAGTAAAGATAAGTATTTAATGTGAAGATTGAATCGAAACACTTTTCAGAAATAACTGCCATAATTCAGTTCTTCTGTAACTCCAAATAATATATTTCACTCATTTAAAAGTTACGTGTTAATAACACAGTAATACTGAGGCAGGTCAGTATTTGAAATTCATTATAGAAAAAGAAATATAGGCACAAATATTCAGAGATCTGAACAACTTAGTAACATTTATCTTTATACATAGGGGACTGCTTTTAACAAAGAATTGTTAGTATTTGTGGGAGCCCCATTTTGATAAAGCAAATTGGAATCTAAAAACATTAAGTTTTAAAGATCAAGTAGAAAAAGCTCCTTTGACAGCATTTATAGTTCCAACACTAACTTTATTATATTTTGAAATAATGGAGGTATTATAAGTATTATTTTTGGAAATTAATTAAAACTAGGCTTATTTTACAAAGCAGTTAACATAGAGAATGATTTCTAGAATTTTGTAAAATGTTCACATTTCGGCACCTATTAACTAGCTATCTTCTAAAAATTTCAGGATGCAATGGCAAATAGCCGAAGAGAGAACAGAGATTTGAAGAGAGAACTAGCCATAAGGCAAATGTTTGCTGACAAAGACAGGAGAGTTAACTTCCTAAACTGGGAAAATATCAGGGGGTCAGGGGAGGATGAAGTACATGAATCATCTGTAGCCAAAAGTTTAGGCAACTTACACTCCTGCCAAAAAAATAAACCTTGAGACTTAAGGCCAATGTTACATGCAAACAGCACAGCACTAAAACAAAACAAAAAACCAAAACAAAACCCAAAGCCGAACAACACCTATTGCCCCACTACAAACACATACGCATGTCTGTATTTCAAATAAATTAGTCACCAGGCAACACAGTTAGTGAGTAATCCATCAGGAATATAGTGAGGTGAGTAGAAAACAACAATAACATAGCAAACAAATGGACAAGTCGGGAGAAAAATAATGGAGAAGATTTAAAGGATCAAATCAGAAAAATTGGATGTAGATGAGGATAACAAATACAGCACAAGAGCAATTGTGAGTGCAACACAAACACTGAAGGAGGCATACTGCTCAGAAAAGAAAAATGGGTTATGTTTATAGAGGATATATGTCTCTAATATTACAATAAATGAAGTCTTAATGAGAATTGCACTATTTAGGAAAATTTTAAGTTGACGTATGCGTACTTGAAGTATGTTAGCAGCATGTGTTCTTTGATGATAGTGCCTAAACATCCTAGGACATGAAAGCTGGAATTCCTGCATCAGCTACTCACTGACCAAGTAGTGCTTTAGACAGTTTTGGCAAGTAGTAAGAACACAACAAAGGGCAGATTGTAAAACCAAAACACACCACAAACAAAAAGCCCTCAAGAACCACAAAAAACCCCACACACCCCAGCACTGGATCTAACGGTCATGAGTTGATTCTATTTAAATTAACAAATAACAGAATAACTTCTTAATGCATTAGAAATACAATTAGGTAAGTAGGCTGGTTCTTCACAATGCAATCTACAGATTTTTTTTTTTGGACAAGCAGTTCTTAAAATGCATTGCTTTTCACCTGAAGTGCCCTACATACAATTTGTTACAAGCCACTGAAGACTGTATATACTGCTCTTTATTTTACAGGTAGGAAAAAGAGAGGCCAAGAGATAAAGCTAGTTGTTTGAGGCCACACAGTTACTGAGTTTACTGTGGTCTAGTTCTTTGTGGGGTGAGAATATTAAACCTTTTCTTGTCCATGGCACTTCTTGTGTAACTTGCAAAAGCATTTTAAACAGGATCATTACGGAAAGACTACTGTTTCATAATCCAGCTTGCAGTATGAAAAGAACTAGACAAGACGGCAACCAAAGCTTACTTGATCAACAATGGAAAGATGTCGAGCTGCTTCTAATTTTGTATGTAGAATGGGGTTTGGGTGTATAGCTTCAGGAGATAAATATGGCCTGTATCCAGACAGCAGGTAAGACAGACAAATTCCGGAAGGTCCATTTCCTATTAAAAAAAAAAGAAGTTACTGCTTTAGTAAAAATGTCAATAATCTAAAGTTTGTAAGTCACTAAACAAGAAGCAACAAAACCGTACTATAGTAGTGTAATGCAATATTGTCCTCATTCAAAGCAGCTGATAAACTTCACAGTAAAATAAAGCCTACCATAGGAACTTCCTCCAAATAAACTGAGCAAAATCGTTTTCAGATAACAAGAAACGTATGTATGACTGTTTACACCATGACACAAAATGTATACAAAGGAATTTCATAATTTAGTATGTCAAATTCACTGTTCTTGTCTGAAAATGGTCCGATTGATAAGATCTGGTCTGCCTGTCAATCATAGTGATATCTGAATATTATTGCCACCTTACAACTTTGCGTTCCCATTTACAGTAGGTACTGTAAAACACAGAACAGGAAGACAATCTAGAGCATATGCTCTTCAGGTCTGCCCATAAAATAAAAGGAAGAAAGAGACAAGCAGAAAGCTGAAGACTGCAAGTCAGATGAGAAGTTACAGACACAGCACAACAGAAACATAAAAGCTAAGTGAAGACAAATACAGTAGGTTAAGTGGTAAAGTACAAGACACTCGTGTAAGACCACATTCATTGTTCAGCAACAATATCAATTCAAACATCTATATCCTTTTGGTAGCATTTTATAATCATATATATGCATTATTGCAATTTTAATAGACTAACTTATTTTCAAAATGTTATTAAAGGTGTGAAATGAATGGGACCAAAACATTTCCATAAGGTAATTATTTCTGTTTATTTCACTAGTATTAAACAAAGTAGGGGACCATATTTGTAACACACAAATACAGAAGTAACATTCATGTTGCAAAGTCAGATATCGAAAACTAGAAAGCTAAAGTCAAGAAAGTATGTGCTATGATACAGAATTTAAACATGTGACTATGCACTGTTATTCCATTCCCATAGCCTCTCTTCCTCATTAACTGAATGAAAAGCACAGTGTTCTCCTAACGAAGCATTATTCAATTTTTGTCTTTGTTTTCCATCTGAAGTGGCACACACGGCATTTACCACACACTATTCAAATTCTGGCCTAAAGATAAAGTTACTAATTTATTCATATTTTTATATAACACTCATTAGGCTGTCAGCTCTTACTCCCTACCATTTCAACTCTTGATCGCAAGAGTTCACCCGTCGTTTCCTGTTCCCCATCACCTCTGCACACACTACTTCTACCACCTGTTACCAATCCCACTTCTCCAATGCCTGCCTTTTCTCCCATTTCTGATGTCCCAGTCTTTAAATCCCCCATCAGTTTGCTGAGACCCTGTTCATTCCCAGTCTCTTCATACATCTGATCTCTTTTTCCTTCTCCACCAGTCTACATTCATCACTCTGGTCCCCAGTGGCAGTATATCTGTGTGCGTAGACCAGTCACAGCCATGGGCTACAAGAAAATCATGTAGGCTCAGCACAGATGAGTTCTTCAAAGGTTGAGACTGCTAAGTTACAAAAAAGATCTTCAATAAGCATGTTTCTTCCAAAGGCCCAGAACCCAAGTAAGTATGTGAGACTGCACAATGGCTCCTACCAAACAATTTAGGTTTTGCACCCAAATATGGAGGTAAAAATAAAGGCATTAGAGTGCCTTTGTACTGTAAGAACCACAAAGCACTGGAAAAAGACTGTCTAGGAAAGCCATGGATTTCCATCATGAGGATCTTCAAGACAGTTAAATCAAAAGTCTGTAATAAAAGGTTTAAATATGGGTGATCCTGCCTATATTATTTTCCAAACCACTTTGATTCCTATTTTGCCATTTACAAAGAAGACCGTAAAGAATCTTTCAGACATAAAAAATGCTCTTCCTTACTCTCACACTGTTCTACCGTCCCACTAACAGATCAGCACGAGATAGCTGGGTACGCTTCAGTCCAGGAATCTGAAGTTTAAAACAGATGCAAGCCGCTCCTGTCACCCACTCGCCACACGAGATGGATGTGAGAGAACCTTAGCAATATAGTGAAACTACCCATAACAAAATCATATGAATTTGTGAAAACACTCTAATCATACCTATACTTAACAAGCATTGCCATGACTGAGTAAATTCTTTACTATTTTTAGAATTGTATCTTGTGCACAGTAAAGAATTTTGTTTCTTTTTACAAGTGCAGAGCTAGATATTTTTTTTCCCTACTGAGGTGTAAAGGAAGCTAGTCCACAACGGAAAGAGAAAAACACGGGCCACATCCAAGGATGCTGTACTAAAGATTATTCCTACTGGATAAGACTAAAAAGAACCAAATGGATAATGAAAGTTGCCAAAACAAAGGCTGGCAAGGGACAAGGAAATTACTGAGGATGGAATTATGTTAAGGTGAATTACTGCAACTGCTCCCTAGCCAGCCCTGGTCCCCCCTCCAAATCCAAACCCAGCTCCTATTCTTTGAGCAGACTGAGTCCAAGGGAAAGAAATTCCCATGCGGATATGCTCTCAAGAACACACAAAATGAAGGTTCAGCTGTAAGGTCTGCAGTTAAGACTTGCCATGATTTTCCCAGAAAATCCTTGAGGGAAAAAAACTAATCTTTTTGAGATGAGAAATTTATACCCAAGGAGTTTGCTCTTTATTTACAGACAATGCCTCCAATAACAGCTCTGATTGCAACTGAGAGATATGACTACTATATAAACTTTAGATACACAATCAATACACCCCCAAACCCCATGGCCCTGTTCATTTCAGGAGCAGTTAATATTTTGTTTGAATAGAGGAGAAGCTTCTCCTGATCAACAGTACACTACAGTAAAATCAGATTTATATTATATGTCTAAATCTAAAGTAAATAATCAACTTCAAACACAATTTCAGCCTTGTTATTTGGAGGAAAGTTTAAAACATTGTGTTTACACAGTAATGATCAAAACCAGTGCAGATGATTAAAACGTTTAGCACAGAACATCCTCTAGACTTAAGAGCTCCAGCATGAAATTCTTCAATCCCAACTCATTCAAATTGAATGTATCCATTTCTTCCCAATTTCTTGAAGACAGGTACAGCACAGAAGTTACTCAATATTACCACAGCAGCTTAGTACTCTATGCAGAACTGTAGTACAATATGCAGCACAAGCTTAGAATCAAATCTTAAATTTGGCATCACACAGGGAAAACGGATGGTGACATTAAAGAAAGTGGAATGTAAGTTATTGCTCCATCATTAAGTTAACTGCTGACACATGTGCCCTCTTCTTCTTTCTGATAAATAACATAGTGCAATGAGAAGATGGCAGCACTATGAAGCTAAAAGTACGTTTAACTCCAGCTATACAGGAATCGCATCATATCTGTGAAAAAGATTTGGGCAACGTATTTGTTTTTCAAGGAGAAACAGTCAAGGCAGCTGTGTTTGGTGTCAGCACATAGAAGGCACTCTAGCCAAAATAAGTATTGAGCACAGGTATTTGCATAATGAATATCCGCAAAACTAAACAGTGAAAACTGAGTCATTAACCATATGGCAAACCTATACTAAGGTTGACAAAATGCCAGAAAACTGTTGCTCTTCAGCTATGATGCAGAACTCAGCAAGTGATTCACGTCTGTCACATCCACGTAAGTCTATGACATGAGCACTATTTTAAGCTATCGTGAAGAGAACTTTGAGAATAGGCACTGTACAAACACCAGTCTTCAGAGTTGTGGAGATTTACTGCAAGCACATTACGTTGACATGTCATTCTCTGGAATCTCTGCTTGTTTGCAGGTACAGTTAAAGCTGTTGATTTGCTGTAGTCCCAACAGCTTTGGACTAGATTATGGAAACCCTCCTTTACTCCAGATCTTTTCTTGATCCCCTCATCAAGTCATGGCAGTAAGGAGCTGGTGACCAGCTGTTGCTGAAAAACCTTGGCCCATCCTGGCACTCTCAATTAAACTGTGTACCTAAGGAGCCTGCTCCCTCTGCTATCCTGTCATTCAGCAAGATTTTACAAGTACAACCTTTTAACTATTTAATCAAGACTACAATTTATTGTTTTAAACTGGTTGAATTGACTCGGAATGATTTTGGAAAAGATGGGACAATATTCAGACTTAGTGATGGAGGCAACAAAGAAAAAGACAATTAATGACAGAAGGCAGCAACTAACCAACACCCAGCACATTTTATGTTATGCTTTTAGTCAGATCATATCAACAAAACCCTACGTGATCAACACTAGAATACAAACAGTTCTTCTCTTAAGAGTCACGTATCTGCTGTCAAATAATGGGGCTCATTCTGTCAAAGCACAACTTGAATTCGAACACACTCCAATAGCAATTGACTTAACATAATTTTATAGCACTGTTATTAATCATAACAACTGTATTACTCTAATAAACACCTTCACTGTAAGGATGCTAAGCATTAGTTATTTAATGATAAATGACTTCATGCAGCAGGTCTATAAAGGCAATTGCAGTGAAACAGAAACTTAAAAAAGGGAAAAAACCTCACCTATTATTACTACAGGCAGAGTAAGGAGGGAGTCCCCAGGCAGAACAGTTTCTTCAATTAAAGGCATTCTTTTAATCTTCCTCCCAAGGCTGTCTCCAAAATACTGGACGAAGGAATTCAAAAGCTGTCCTTCGGTTTCAGGGCCGCTGTAACTTCTAATTAAGAGGACAGATGGGAGAAAACTAAAATTAAACTGTTGTCAGAACTCTCTCTTCACAAATAAAGCTGCTTTTGATGCTTTACTTTAAGAGTTATGGAATTGGCAAAACCGAACAGGTATGCTTCAACCCATCTACAAAATTTTACTCCTCAGCACAGCTTTTCCAACAGAAGATTTTTAAAAAGTCCACTTTCTCCTAGAAAGTCTACAGAAGGATAACACAAAGGCACAGATGGCTCTGCAGAGATGCAGATTTCTAATTTCAGTTTATACAAAGACAAAGCATAGCCAACAAGCACTATTTAGACACACATACACCACCACCACCCCTGCAGAACTCATTCCTCATAATGCTTATCGAAAGAGGAGAGGTACACACTGCCTGGCCAGTCAAGAGCATTAAGGCCAGCCAAAGGCCAATGGAGCAGCTAAGGTACAACAGCAGCTGTTCACAGCCCTTCCTATCTGCTGAGCAGCAGAGAGGACTTCTCCTGAACAAACTTCTGTTCAGGCAGAAGTAAGGCTGGTTAAAGCTGGCAGTGGTGTCAAGATGGAAAAAAGTGTGTTCTCTGTAAGCCCTAGACACAGCCCATTTTATCACTGTTAAAAGAAAACTTTTTATAAAAGGAATTGCTGTGCAGTCAGGTCAGCTACTGTGCAGCAGACTGCTTTCACACCTGGTTGTTTTCCTTGATTTCTCAGTAACAACTGCTTCAGTTCCTCTCACACTCTCACAATGTGCTTCTAGACTACACAAACTTTTTTTTATTTTGTTCGCTGTTTAATTAAGAGCCCTTTCTGAAGCCTTTCCAGGTCACTGAAGAAGGACACACTATTAGTTTAGCTGGAAAGGCAGGGACAAATTAAAAATAGTCTGTTACTGGCAGTTATGTTATTAAGTCTTCAAAATAAAGACCTAACAACTTTTTAATTAAAAATATCCCAGTCAGCTGATCTAAACATTTCTCTCTTTACAAATACAGTTTTAATTATTAATAAGCAGAAGTACTTTTATTTATTTCTTAAGCGTCTGCATATCTTAAAGCTATTCCAGTATTTCAGACATTATTTTCTACACAGGACCAAAAGCGTAAATCACTGCTGCAATTCCTTCAAGCCACGTACACTACGGACTGCCTCAACTCCCACAACACTCAAGGTTTCACTATGTATTTCAAAGCCTTTCCTCAGTGGGGAGTTCTGAAGTAAACTAAAGACAGAGCTGTACACTAACAACAGCACTAGCACATACTGTAATATATCTCTCTGATGGTTATTTCCTTGTTAAAAAGGAGGGGAGGGGGGAGCTATTCTACAGTTGTATTTATTTCAGAGAGCACATACTTGCTATCTCTTTCCCTGCACTGAAACAGAAAAAAGTTTGCAAATTACGTGCTTACTGTTTGATTACAGCTGTGCATTAGCTCCTTGTGACCTTGGAGACGTGTAACGTACAAACAGCATGAGTTAGATGAAGATGAGTAGAAGGCAGAGAGGATATCTAATTATCATACTGCTTTTTTCACCTCCACTTTTAGATAGCCACATTGTTTTCCAGCATTTGCTCCAAGTTAACTAAGGCAATGCTACCCTATGCTTTGCAAAAGACAGGCTTAAATGAACTGTACATGTCTTAGTGTGGTTTTAATATACTTGCTGTGCTAGATGGAAGACAAAAACTAAAAGAAACATTTCAAAACCTCTTTTATGTGATATATGTGCAGTGCTCTAGGCTACAAAAGAATCTTTAACAATAAAAATGTTGCTTCTGTGCAGCTTAGTGTATCACAAAATACCCAACTGGTTTAGCGCAGAATCTAATTTTGCACAGAAACATCCACATACAACACACAGTTTCTCAGCTATCGTGCATATGCAGCAGATGAAGGACTGTTGTCAGGAGCACGTTCTTCCTTGCAAGGACATCCCACCAGAAGTCAGTAAGATCTTAAGTTAGGGGCCACCATCTTCCTAACCTCTGAACAACACTGAAACTTACCAAGTACCAGAAGTTTTTATCTTGACAAAAACTCACACAGTAGACAGCTTTGCTGTGGTGGGGATTTGGTAAAAATATCTACGGCTCTACCCTTGTCGAGATGCAAGTGGGCACAAAGATGAGTCGATTCCAAAGCTTATGCTTAGTTTACCTTGTGCTGGTCATACCAAATAACCTTGAGAACTATTTGCTATCAAACACCTAGATTCTAAATGTGTTCATCTTTTTTCTCTTTTTTTTTTTTGCCTTTTAGTGCTTTTCAGTTAATTACTTTTATTTTTAATTGATGTGAAAAACCCATTAAGAGAAAACCCACGACATATACGCAAACGTTTTTCTCCCTTTGAAAAATAAAATAATAGTTTTTCCACAATAACTGTCTTAATTTGGTGAAAGTTATTAAAATAAGAGGTGCCTTTTCCAGGTAGCAGCTTTGAAAGATCCTATGAAAAAAAATCCTTAGCAAAAAAAAATTAAATAAACTGACTGTGGTGGGCGGCTAACAAAAAACTCGTTATATAAAAGGAATTTAAATTTGGTCTCAAGCTGACACTTTGGGAAGCAAATTTAGCACTGTCAGATTGTTGGGTTTTTTGAATCACCGCGAAGAGCGAAGCCCATCAGGACCGGGATCCCCGACGGGGCAGCGCCACGGACGCTGAAGCGAAACCGAGCATCAGCGGGCGACGATTCCCTCCCAGCCCAGGCTGCGCTTCGGCGCTGCCCAAGGTCACAGCGCGCTCGCCCGGCCCGCCGCCTCCATCCCCCTC